TATGAACTCCCCAAAGTCTCATGGCTATCAGATGAAAGATGTCAAACCAAAATCGACTTTTTATTTTTATATACCGTACATAGAGAAAAACAAATCGCGCCCTGCCGGGGCGCCACCCCTGCGAATTTGAAATTTATTTTTCGCAGAAACCTCCCCAGGAATATTCTCAACAACTTCCCAAAGTTTCACGGCGATGTGATGAGAGGTGTAGTAATGCATAAAGGACAGACACACAGACATACATTGCTTTTTACTTTCTCGTATATACGTATTATAGAGAAAGTATTGTAATCGTGCAAAAAAAAATCGAGATTTTTTACACCTCACTGATACGGAAAAACATAATTTTGCAATCTTGTCCGTATGTCTGTGTGTGTGTGTGTCTGTGTGTGTCTGTGTGTCCGTGTGTAAACACGATAACTTGAGTACCGTTACAGCTAGGTTGATGAAATTTCAAATATAAGTATTATATCAAAATCGTAGATCCGTATCAACTTTTGAGCGATTTCCGACAACCGGAAGTGGTACTTTTTCTACTTTGAGTTTTTCAAAAGCCTATAACTTGAGTACTATTTCAGATAGATAAATGAAATTTCACATGTAAGTAAAAGATCTAATTCTCTACCTTCTGTTAAATTTTGAGTAATTTCCGTTGACCGGAAGTAGTAATTTACGCTACTTCCGATTTCTCAAAAAACTAATGTAAATTTATTAAGTACTAATACTATTGCGCACTATTATACACACCTTTATTAGGCGTTCGCTTGGTGCGCAATTGTTTTTTACTGAGATTCTATTCTATTTTTAAAAGTTTCAGTATTTAAAATGGATTAAAAATCATAACTATATCCCCAGTTACCATCCCCTGTTGCTTTATATAAGAATATTCGAGAAAGTTTAGGGGAGATCACTACCGGTTTATTATATATATAGATAGATAGAAGATAGATAGATAGATGTAGTTAAAAAAACGTTTATGAAAAATAATTTCACCTATCACAATTCTATAAATTGCCATCGAGTTTAATGATTCACTTATAGCAAGCTGCGTTTAGCAATCAAGACTTAAACCCCATTTTTATTAATCTATCTCAGGGGTCGGCAACCTGCGGCTCGCGAAGATATCTAGATGGGGCTCTCCAGCTCCTAGCACAAATACTAATAATCTTAATAAAAAAAAATATTTGAAATAAAAAAATGTTAGTGGCTCTTCAAAACCTGGGAAATTAAAAAAAAAAAAAGTAACTTTTGGTTCTTCCACTTCAAAAGGTTGCCGACCCCTGTTCTATGTTGTTATTTATCAAACTTGTGCAACAGTTCTACAGTTAGATTTTAAAGTGTATACTGTACCTTAGTTCAAATATGTGTTTCTTTTATCACTAGTCATATCCAACACAACATTTTACTAAATTACTACATGTAGCTAAGGTGGATATTAGGTCTTTATGCACATTTACATATGCATTGTGTACTGTTAATTTTTAAAAAAAAACATGATGAAAACAAAAGTATTTCTGCTTTTCTTTACTAAATTTTTTCATATTGCTGATTCTGTAATTTTTCAACTAACGTGATGCACATTTTTAATGAGGATTTAAGCCTTCAGTTTAAAAAAATTATATTAAAAATGTGTGTAGAAACTCAAGTTAATCTGCAGTGTTACGGATAGTATTAGAAGTATTTTTTATTAAGAATTATTTATAAAACTTATTATACATTTATATATATTTACCATATTTTTATAAAATGTCACGTAAAATTGGAAAAGCATCACAGTTTTCCATATTGATAAAATTTTAATTTTTCTCTAGGCTTTGTTATTACTGGCAGCCATCACGACTAAAATTAGTAGCGTTTACTCTACATTAAATTTTATTTTTTAAAATAATAATCATTTTTGATTATCGAAAATGTGTATTGTATTTTAAGGTGTCAACTAATAAGCGGTATTATGAATAATCTGATAGTTTTGTTTATCAATATTTTTCCCTGTTTGCTTTTTAGTTGTTGTTAATTTCTTAAATAAATATTTAAATTACTTTTGTCACAGCAATAAAATGTGACAATTTTTAGATTCTATTTGAGTTGTGTGTTGCAATCGATTTCTATTTCCCCATTATGTATGTGGCATGCTTTTAGCTGGGTTATTAAATGAACTAACAATTTTCACAATACTAAGGTTAAATAACTTGAATTCATGTGGCAAGGACAAACTTACAAATGAGTTAACTCCATTGCTCAATCAGGATAAAACAGGCTGTTTTAAATGCGGAACACACCGGGTGACCCCATTTAGGGGAGTGACACCAAGAAAAAAAAGGGAAAAATGTATACAGAAAAATGATAATTCCACTTAAATAATAATTAGAGTGAGTTAATTAGTCTTTTAAGAGGAAAGTTGACCAATCTCGACGACAAGGGCGCTGAGGGGGAGGGGGGGGGGGGGTGACACAATGACATAAACCTGCTAATGATAGAGTAAACATGCTACATCCAGCTGAATTTATAACTGACTATAGATAAAAATTGTTAGTGTTATCTGAGAACAGATTGTGCACTTTGTGTGCAGTTGGGCTATAGAAGTTTATGGCAAAACCATATTTTTTGAGAAAACGACTCACTTCTGCAAAACCATATTTTTTGAGAAAACGACTCACTTCTGCAAAACCATATTTTTTGAGAAAACGACTCACTTCTGCAAAACATCCATAAATCAATCATTTTTATAAATTTTGTTTAACTTGTAATTGATAAAAATAGTAAAACAAGTGTTTAAAATGTCAAATATTTCCTTTGTAACTGGAGTCGTTACAAGCAAAAGTTATCTGACACTGACCTTACCTAACTTGCAGGTACAGGGTTTGGAGCATCACAAGAGAGTAAAATACACCCCAGCATTCAAAACAGATTGGCCTCCTTGGAATTTACATACAGAAAGTGTTGTTAGAAATAGAAAGACAATAATAATAAAATTTGACACACACTTTAGCCATTTTATTTCTTTAAATTTTCACGTTACAATGTCTAATGATTCGCTACATTAGAATTTACATTACAAGGCTATTTTTTTAATAGTAAGGAATACAAAATTAAATGACAACTAGCCAAAAATTACATTATGTTGAAACGAAGATACCAAAATGTAACAATTGCAGCTTAAGTCTTTCTTTTCTTCAAATTTATTATTTTATCCTGTTTTTGTAAAAAAAAAAAAGTTACTTTATGACATTGAAGTGTGTGGTTAATCTTTAAATTGTATAGCTTACTAAATGAATATGTGAAGAAAATTATTTTATACTCTTTTAAATCAAATAGCATGCAGAGAGGAATCTGAGATTTGGCATAAAGTTCATATTGAGAAGGTGTGAAGAAAGATAAAATCTACATATAACATGTTACAAATGCATTTAATTTAATAAAATAAAACATTTAGCAAAAGTAAGGAAGTGACCATAAGCCTTAGCAATGGTTGGAGCAACATGAAACTTGGGGTTAGTTCCATAAGACATGTAAATAGTGGGGAGGGAGAGGAAGTTTTTACATCCGGTCTGTTTGATATATACATTGCAGCCTGTAGAGTTTGTTCCAGTGTTTCTTCCAGACTTTTTTCTGGGGGGGGGGGGGGGGGAGGGGTCACTTGAAATTTCCGGGGGGGGGGGGGGGAGGAGGGGGGCGGTAAACTTTCTTCGGGAGGATGGATACTGTTGAAAGTATATATTTTCTATATAAATTTCATTTCGTTATTTTTCGGCGGGGGGGGGGGGGGGGGTCCTGGAAGAAACTCTGATTTAATCATATGACTTGAAATTTCATACCTCTCAATATAATGATTAAAGATATTTAGCAAAAGATGAAAAAGTTTTTAAACAAATATTTTGTCTGCTCAGAAGTTTTGATGTCACTGTACCTGTTGGCTAGATGCCACTGTGACTGCCGGTCTGATGTCATTGTACTTGTCTAATGGAGGTCGTATTAACTGTTAACCTGATATTCTGTCACGTTGCTGTATGTCTGACTGAGCTGTTTGTGAGTAGTGTAAATGTGTAAAGTTATGAATGAGAATTGTGTTACAGTACTTATATTGTAAACATCTAGTAAATGTAAATAATACATTGAACTTGAACAGCATGTTTTATTTTAGTTAGCTTCTGTTATTGTTAATGTGCAATTGGTTTGATCAGAATTGGTAAACTCCCTTGTCCCAATGAATGTGCATTGTCAATTTTATAAAATTTGAAACAGGCAAATTAACTGTGCGGCCTGAACAAGACCATGCTGGTATAAAAATAAAATCCTGGGTCCCTAAAGTGATAGCTTACTTCTCCTATCATACATATTTACAAATAACACAAAAAGAAGTAGGATACTTAAAGAAAAAATGTACACATGCAGCTGACAATAGGATGCTATTTCCTTTTACAGTCAGAATACAATTTCTTTTTAGACTATGAATAATAATTGACGAGGTATACTCTTTGACAAAAGAACCTTTTTATAATATAAATATTTATTAACTATGGCCCACTATTAGAAGTTATGTGCACAGAAAAATTATAAGAAATTTAATAATAATAATTTGCTATAGATATTAATTGTTTATGTTAAAAATGATTTTAAATTGGTTTTAAGTCATGATGAATTTCTATATAAAGTAAATTTAAAAGAAAACATTTCCTTACCAAGATCACATTCCTCTGTCTTACATATAGAATGAATTTTTTTAGAGTATTTAAATTTGAGAAAATCGTTTGTGTAAAACATCATTTAGACTACAACTTCTAGAAAACCTTTAATGACATATACCACTTTCATATAGCTTGTCTCATAAATAAACTTTTTCATGTGCACTTAATTGAGAACGTTGAAAAAACCATTTATGGCTAAAAAAAGTTTTTTATGTGTAGTTAAACTATTCTGAGTAAATCATTTAGGATTAACATCAAATTCATATGGCTTTTTTTTCCCAAATGAACAAAATTGTCTTAATAAATCACACTTACAAGCAAACTTTATAGGACAAACATGACATCCATATGTGGCCTTTCATCTGAATGAATCTTTTTTTGTGTTCTTAAATTAGAATATTGAGAAAACATTATATTAAGCATCACATTCATGTGGTTAATCTCCTGAATTAACCTTTTTATGTGTTCTTAAATGAGAACTATTTTAAAATCTTTTCAGACAAACATCACATTCATATGGCTTATCTCCAGAATGAACAATTTTATGTCGTAAGAGATCCTTCATATCCACATATTTTTTATGACAAACATCACATTAATGTGACCTTTCTAATGAATGAACTTTTTAATCCTGTAATAGATTATTCTTATTTGCAAAGATTTTATGTCAAACATCACAATTATACACCTTTTCTCCAGAATGAACATTTTTTTGTTTTTTTAAATGAGAATTTCTAGAAAACCTTTTATGACACATCACATTCATGTGGTTTATCTGCAGAATGAATAATTTTGTGTGTACATAAGTTAGACCTTTGAGAAAACTTGTGATGACAAACATCACATTCATATGGCTTATCTCCTGAATGAACATTTTTATGTATTTTTAAAACAGAATTTCTAGAAAACCTTTTATGACAAACATCACATTCATGGGGTTTATCTCCTGAATGAATAATTTTATGTTGTAATAGAACTTTCTCCTCCACAAAGATTTTATGACAAACACCACATTCATGTGGCCTTTCTCCTGAATGAATCGTTTTATGTTTACCTAAGTTAGAACTTCGAGTAAACCTTTTATGACAAACATCACATTCATATGGCTTATCTCCAGAATGAACATTTTTATGCAATTTTAAATCACAATTTCTAGAAAACCTTTTATGACATACATCACATTCATGTGGTTTATCTCCAGAATGAATCTTTTTATGTGTTCTTAAATTAGAACTTTGAGTAAACTTTATATGACAAACATCACATTCATGTGGCCTTTCTCCTGAATGAACCACTTTATGTTCTCTTAAATAAAAACCACGAGAAAACCTTTTATGACAAACATCACATTCATGGGGATTATCTCCTGAATGAACCATTTTATGTTCTCTTAAAGTAGAACTTCTAGAAAACCTTTTATGACAAACATCACATTCATGTGGCCTTTCTCCTGAATGAATCTTTTTATGGTCACCTAAGTTAGAACTTCGAGTAAACCTTTTATGACAAACATCACATTCATATGGCTTATCTCCAGAATGAACATTTTTATGCTCTTTTAAAACATAATTTCTAGAAAACCTTTTATGACATACATCACATTCATGGGGTTTATCTCCTGAATGACAAATATTACATTCATATTCAGAATGAACAATTTTATGACGCAATAGACCATTCTTATCTGCAAAGACTTTATGACAAACATCACAATCATATGACTTTTTATTTTGATTTAAGTTAGAACTTTGAGAAAACCTTTTATATGGCTTATCTTCGGAATGAACATTTTTATGCATATTACTTTCAGAACTTTGAGAAAATGTTTGATGATAATAAACAATTTCATTTCCATTGTCCCTAGACAATTGTAGATTTTCTTCAAGTCCATTTTCTTGTTTATCCTCAAAAAATAAAAATTCTGTTGTGAAATCTTGTTTTAAATTTTGATTAGTTGATAATTCTGGTTTTAAACTTTCAGATGTTGAAAATTCTGCTGATGCAGCAGGTTTCTTATTAATATTTTCAATTGAAAATGTATTATCAGGTTTAACATCTTGATAAGTTTTAAATGACATGTTAGGTTTTATATCCTGAACATTAAAAAATGATAATTCTGGTTTTATTTTTATGTCATTAGAAGAAGAAAATTCTGAATTAATATCAGGTTTAACATCTTGAGAAGTTTTAAATGACATGTTAGGTTTTATATCCTGGAAATTAATAAATGTCAATAATTCTGTTTTGATGCCAGCAGAAGATGAAAATATGGCCGATAGATCTGGTTTCAAATCTTCAGAAGATGAAAACTCTGTCAATTCATTTGACTGTATATCTACAGTAGATGAAACTGCAGCTAACACATCTGTTTCCACCTCCATGCTAGACAGCTTCTTAGATATGAACTGATGATTAAAAAATGTAAATGTTAAACTGGTGATTAAATAATCAAAACAACTCATTACTAATAACATGGCAAAATTTGTAACACATGCCAGACTTTTATCAGTCTGATTACTAATGATTACTCAGTCAGATGAAATTTTAAATTAGACAACCAGTAATGCAAAGCAATCATGACTGCAGATTAATATCTTAAGCTACCAGTTTCTTAAAATTATTGTAAAAAATAGAAATACTAAGATATTAATAACAAAAATCAAAACTTGATATGCTTTTGTTAGTTTTAAATGTAAGTAATAAGTGCTTAATCTTATCCAAATATGTAATAAAAGTGTTAAAATTAATTTTAATTACAGTTCTAAACTGTCATAAACAGCTTAAGAAACACTTGATTTCTTTAGGCAGCTTGGCACCAATTTGCACTTTAGTAGTTTTGTGACAATATTTGTACACAATAGGACTTGTAATTTCTTGCAACAATTGTAAAAACTTTCAATGCTATTTCATTCGTATGGCTGGGAACTAATATATGTGCATGCATAAAAGTTTTGTGTATATGGATTTATTAATTTGTTTACAGGTAGTGCAAGGAAGGCTAGGGGATGATACTGTTACTCTACTAAACTGGTTTAGCTATTTTAAACTACGGAATGAACACAACACCAATGGTGTCCTCTTCCAGTTTAAGAATATAAAGAAATGAACTTTTTCATCCAAATTTGACCTAGATCTAGATTTTATAAATTTACTTAGCAAGAACCTACACTATGGAATGTATACAATTTTCTTGTTCAAACTAATGGAGAGGTTGCACACACATGACTAAAACCACATGATGTTTACATCCGCCATGATGATGCCCTAGCCCAGCACTTGTCTTCTCTATGTATTTTATATTGCTAGTCCCTAAGTTTATTTTAAAAACTAGCCTCCCACAGAACAGTAACAATATTTGAAGGAACTAAAATTATTCAGGAACCTATTTTTTTTTTCCAGCTGATAGACAATATGAATATAATAAACAACTGACCAAAATGTAAACATCTATCGGAATCTATCCAATCAAAAGTGAAAGCCACAACTCCAGAGAGTCAGCCTAAAGAATACCAAAGATTCAAGAAAGTTCGACCTCACAACAATTGTTGTGGTCTTGGATGCACAACACTATTAAGTATGAATAGGTCTATTAGTCATTCATGTCAACTATATTGAAAAAAAAAAGAAAAATTACTATACATGCATATATTAAAACAAAACAAAATAACCGTATTAAACAACAAAATAAACACAAGAGACAGGTGAATAGACAATTTTTCACGGGAAACTACTCTATTATTGTTTTTGAAACATGGCCACTGCTTGTATTTACTCATTGTTGTCTCGAACGGGGTAGTTTAAAGTTTATTCCAGGATATTTTTGGCTGGTTTGGTCATAGATTGTGATTTGTTATATTATGTAAAATATGTCATAAATATGGCCAAATGAAAGAAATATTCATTAGTTACCGCCATCGCACATTAGTAGCTAGTAGCTACTTTGGAAATTATGATGCTAAACTAAGGTTTTATCGAGAAGAGTTATGATGACTATTATTTAGAGATACTAATTTTAAATTTCGTTATTTTTCTATTTAAACATTACCAATGAAAACTAGAGATCAATCTCTAATCAATCAAATACTTAATTTGTTGATAATAAACTCATTTGGAGCTTAATTACTGATTTTTATTAGATCTAATTGGCCACTCCCAGCATTGCAAGCCAAAAAATCCACGACAACCATTTTCCTACCTAAAGAGAAGAACTCTGCAGGGTGGACCTTGCAGCTGATTTGATTTTAACAGAATTCGTATGGACTATGTCTTCCTCAGAGTAAAAATCACAAGATGGAATTACATCTAGATCTATATTTTTTTAAAAATATTTGATTCCTTTTTTTTTTAATGGAAGGATGTTTAAAAAGGAAAACTAAACCCAGATTAATGAATTTGACGACAAATATGCGTCAATTAAATATGTTTAAGAATATAGAATAGATCTAAAATTTTGAAAGATATTCTATCCCATGCATGTTTCATCAACTAGTGTAAGTGCTTTAGCAATGCTTAATCAGGGCAATTTATAAAATTCTAGCGATGTCATTGTAAAATGAATCTAACTCTCCTCTCTCACTGGACTTGGGACAGGTGTGTTATTCACAAAGTTTCGCCGATGCTCAGTTTAAAATATTGTTAAGATTTGTAAGTATTTGATTTACTTTTTTTTAAATCTGTAATAGCATTAAAATTGATAAAGTTAGCGAGAAATGCATTCTAAACAGCATCACGGGCAGTGTGCGTGGCGAACATCTCGCTCTCGTTGTTTTGTCAACCAGAAAAGTTAGCCTATCAAATACAATTAATCAGGCCTATAAAATAAAAAGAGGCCAATCGCATTAAAATGATCGCACGTGAGCGAAGATATATGCAAATTACAAACATCGCCAGCCCACCTGCGTTCTTTCGTCAACCAGCGAGAGAAAACCCACAGCACAGTGTGAGCATGCGCTAAATCTAGTCCAAGTACTTTGTTATCCCAAGTTATAATTAGTAGTGTAGGTCTAGATTAATATAAAGTTCACATTAAATGTATTTAATTAAGATGTGTGTCTATTTGATTTTTCAAATGTCAGCGCATAAAAATTGATTACCCGAGAGCGAGAATTAGGCCTATGCCTATGCATTACAAACATCGACACAGACCAAGTGTGACACACGACTCGCTCGCGCTGGTTTGTCAGCGAGAGAGGCATCGCCCGCCACAGCGCGGGCACAGCACACATGTCCTAGTCCATGCGTACTTGGTTTACTAAGTACTAATTAGTAATGTAAACTTAGACCCAACACTAAAATCATTTAATGTATCTATCAGGCCTCTAAAATCGTAATAATATTAACATTATTAAGCCTAATAAATGTATCAATGAAGACCAGTGAAAATAATATTATAATTAGCCTAATTGAAATTTATGAAACCAATAAGAATTAAGACAAATTCATTAAGCTATAACAAATTTGAAAACAAATAATTAGGCCTAAGTCATTAGCCTAAGTAAGCACACAAAGACCAACGCTCACTACTAGATCTAGATCTAATTCCAGGGACCAAAAAAAAAAAAAATAACAGATCGTTGTGGTTTCAGGGTTTTTAGAGTCATAATATAATCCAAAAGCCAGGTGAAATATCCATAATTAGGCTTAATTAGTCTAATTACGCTAGCAAAATAAGCTGAAAAAGAATGTCAAGTGAAAAGAAAACAATTATATAAGCAGCGAGGGGATGTACAGCTTCCGTAACAATAGCGATGACGTCACAATAAAAAATTACATGCTTTCAGTGACCTTTTTAGGAGGCCGATTTCTTAAAATCGGCACATAATAATTGCATTTTTTTTCACTAAACGATCAATCTAATAATACCCTACCTAACAGTGCCATTTAGACACCTTACAATCCTTTATTTAAAGTTTTTTAACAACTCAAACTATACCCATGTTTACGTTTGACCTCCATGGTCGGAAGCAATTAAAAAAAAAAAATTCTGCCAAAAATAGCTTTGTCATCTTCAGATAGCTTAAAATACGCGAAAAAAACGCCATTTTTTCGCGTGATAATTATTTTTAAACTTAATGTTAAGGTGGTCTCTTGAACAAAGCAGAAAAAATTGCCCAATCGTAGGCCAAGGTGACGTAGCCATGTTCGGGTTAGCAACCAAGGACGCTTTCAAGTTACTGAGACTCGCTTCTATTATTGATTAATATTATTATTATGAGATCTCATCCAACTTTCTCAGCCATCGGCATAATTTTACCCCACTAAGTCAGTACTACTACCACATTAACTGCACTACTTATATACTACACTGAGTCACACTCCATTGATAATCCGGTTTTTAAATACTTAAATGTAAGCTCGAAAAACGTTTTTTTTTTACTCTGGGGAAGTGTTTTATTATTATTACTCAATCAATCAGTCCGTCAAAGCCCATCCCACCTTTCACCTTTTCCGGAATCGGCGTTTAGATTATTATAAAATGGCGTCCTTGGAGATTTAATATGGTCGTCTGTACGGGCAATGGTTTGATCGACTGTTGATTTATTATATAATTCTATTTTTATATCGTAGTGAAGATGTTAGGCTTTAGTATTATGTACAAATAAAAAAGTCAATAATACACGCACCTGCTTTAGTTTATTTTGACTTCAAGCACAAGAGTGACTTTCCCTCGTCGGCCTCGTGAAAGACAAAGAAAAAAATCAGGTAGGCCCCTAAAGCTAGCATTATTAAAATGTTAAATATTCGCCCCGTAAATACATGGGCAGTTTCGATACAAATCTATGCGATTACGATACGATCCTTATTTATAAGTATCATGTACTTCATGAGAAAGAAATGATTCGATATTTTATGTCCGCCCAAAACACGGTGGCCTGCGAAACCGCGAGAACGAGAATTCACGAATCGAAAAGCCTGGTATCTATATATCTATATATATAATTCTCTTCTTCGAGCCGTTAGAAAACAAGCTGCAAACGCTCTCCCTACCTCCCCACCCCTACATGGTTTTAGTGAGCTGTGTTCACTCTAAATGTTTACAAGCAGAGCCAACGATTTTAAACGTAGGGGGGGGGGGGGGGGAGGAGGGGGGAGGGAAGGAAAGGGGGGGGGGGGGTTATGGTCCTTAACGAGCTACTTATAGTGTTTTAAAGAAATATTTTCAGTGTCAGCGTTGGTACTGTCGAATTCACAAATTATGAATTATTGAAAATTAGAAACAACTAAATAGCGGCGTATGTTATGCCGCGGGCCGGCTCGTAAAGTATAATTAGTATAAAGTAGATCTAGATTTAGATATAATAAAGTAAAAATGTTTGTAAAAAAAAGTTTGATCTTTCTGCATAATCTGAAATGACCAGAAATGAGTCTCAATCTCTGCTTAACTACTTAACTAACTACTAGATCTAGATTCTAACTACTTCACTTTATTAGTATTAGTAGGCTACTACTAGAATCTAGTACTAGATCTAGATCTAGAAAATCTAGATAGTTTTTACTAGATACACATTAGATACTAGATAGGCCTGCTATTTAATATTTTAAAAAATATTTATTATATTTATTTACAAACTTACTAGACTACTACTAGATCTAGGCCTACTAAATAATACTACATGACACATGAAGTATTTTGTTAGAATATTTAATTAGGTAAAACCTTAGTTTAGCGTCGTTATTATTCCGGAATGGTATAGCAGTAAAAAAAAAAACAGTGAAACAATGGCAAATTCTGTCACACAGTTCCGGAAGTACTGTAAACCATACTTTATTTGGCGTCATCTTTTATTTTTAATACAGATCGTTTAAAATTTGGATAGATTTATTTTGATTGCGTGTTAAATACTACTTTATTACTCATTTTGAATAACTAGTTATTTTTAAGTGTTTCAGCTAAATATTTCTGCTACTAAACATTGTTTAACAGGATTTGTACACAGTCTGGAAAAAGTCTTGAATTTAGAAAAGTGAATTTCATCAGACTAAAAATAGTCTTGACGGGTCTACACTGTGGAACGATGTTTTTCGCTGGGTATCTCAGAAGAAACCCGATTTCTCAGTTACTACGTCATTGGGGAGGGGGGGGTGAGTGTAAGACCTGTCTTTTTGTTGTTGTTGTTGCGTGACTGACCGTGAAAATGTTTAGGGCTAGACTAACCCGCCCCTCCTAGTAACTAAGGTCACTGATAATAATCACTGATATCTAAACGTGTATGAACTCACTGTGACCCCAAGTACGTAGATGGTGCTGCCTGGCTAGGTGAGGGAGGAGGGGGACTAAAAGTTATGGTATAGTTCATGATATTATGTCGTATTAGACTGGGCTACTGTGACCTCACAGTGACCCCTCCACCGTCTCTTGTTGTGTGTGTTTGGGAGGGTGGGATACCGGTGGTTTTTAATAGCAGACAAAAGTTTCTCAGCTATAACTACAATTAATGGCATGGTTACAAAGGTCTTGTTTCATTTTCAAAATAGGGTACGAACCGTTTCTAGTCACTTTTACTATTTTTGTAATCATTTAATCATTTTTACTATTTTCATAATCTAGATTTTTATTTACTAGCAGCTAGCTAGATCTAGATTTAATTAATTAATGGCAGCAAATCCGCTGCAAGCCAAAAACGTTAAATTATTACATTTGGCTTCATTATTTAATATTTATATTTATTATATTAATATATATTTCTTTTCTTTTTTAGATCTACCAATTTAAATCTACTATTATTCTTGTTTTCTTTTGTCGATTAAACTTAAAAAAATTAAAACATTAAAAAATTAATTTGCTACAATCCACTTTCACTTTATTTATATTTAAATATATTTCAATGTTCAAATAAACCATGGTTTACCGTAACTCTAGTTACCGAAACTCAACAAACATTACCCGATAATTTCAGACGTTAAACTAAGGTTTTACCAAATATTACTTGTTATTAGTTTGTAATTGTAATATACTTTTGGGTAGGCTATAGGCCACTATAGGGTGATTAATACTGCTAAGAGTCTATACATTTATAGTAAATCTATAGGTAATCTATCATCATTTAAGTACGTAAAATCGGCTGGCTAGTAATGTGAATGGAAGGTGACTCATTAATTTTAGTAATTATTGGGAGGATTTATGTTAGTTCACATCCAGTGACTGATTAAAACGCCCAGTGCTCTTGATATTTTTACGCCGAGTGCAATCTAAAAATAGGTAGCCTATCAGGAGTATAGTATTGATAGTATTGGTAACTATTAATTTTAATAATTTATAGGCCTAAATCAAAATTATAAAAATTCTAGCCTAAAAAAAGTTTCATCACAAATGTGCCAAATACATAATTGAATTATAGAGTAATAGTAAGTAATATAACTAAAGAAGAGTGTAAATTGTCAATGTAGAATTTTCAAATGTAGCTGTTATAAAATATCATTGTTTGTGTTTCCCTGCAAGGACTACAAAAATATTTCACATTCAGACTTTTATTAGAAGAAACATTAGTTGTCAGTAACATTTTCTGTCATTACTAATATTACAAGAACTTAACATTTTTAATTTTAAATAATTAAAGAGTATCAAATATTTCTCTTTCAGCTTTAACTGTTTGATCAAGTGAATACATCCTATTAATTTAATAACTCTAGTGTTACAGAACAAAAGAAAATGAGAGAGCAAGTAGGTCACTGTGACATCTGTTCAAGAACATTTTCATCTTTTGAAAGATTACGAACACATTGGAATAAAAAGCACACAGAAGTGCAAGCTATAAGCTGTTGTTTTTGTGATTTTATAGTTGCAGCGGAGCCGTTGTTTGCTAAACATAAAAAAGAATTTCATCCAAAGGATAGGATGGCGTGTGAGTTTTGTGCTTATACCACCGGAAAATGGAGTAAGCTGAAAAAACATCACACCAAAGTTCATGTGGCTTTCTATAAAGAAAACATTGCTGCTGAATTACTAAAGAAAAACTTCAAAAAGAAAACAGTGTTATCTTCTTGTAAATTCTCAACAAATTACAGATTAACTTCTTCAAATTGTGGAAATGTTGAATTCAGATGCTCAATACTGGAGGAGAAAAAAAATTTATTATCAACTAATGAAAAGACAGCTGAGTTGTACCCCACTATATTCAAACCGTGTGAAAAATTGCAGATAAATCATAAAAATCAAACAACTGGACCTCAAAAGTTACAGTTATATGAATGTGCCCTGGAGAATTGTAAAACTTGTCAACTATACCATAATGGTAAACAGAGAGGCAGCGAGCCTCCAGCAGAGAATTTTGTGTGTGACATTTGCCAAAAAAGTTTTAAAACCTTATCTCATTTGGCTTCTCATAAAATTGTGCACACTCCATTGAAATGTTTCTTTAGCTCACCTGTTGTCCCATCAACTGATGCATACACCTTTGAAGCTTTACATAAGTAGTCATTGTGGCAGAGGCTTTAACTTACCAGACGAATATGACCTGCACCTTGTAAAGAGACATTTCAAGTACAGACCTTTCAGATGTTCATTGTGTGAGAAATCTTTTACCATCAAAAAAAATTTAAGAGTTTACATGAGCATACACACTGTGGATTTAATGTATAAGTGTTCAAATTGTGAATACACAACAAATGATAAAAGTCCTTTCTCAGAACATAAAAGAGTTCACATGAACAGTAAGCCTTTCACATGCAATGCTTGTGACTATTCAACAGCTTCTAGAAGTTCTCTAAGAGGTCATTTAAGGACTCACTCTGGTGAGAAGCCATTTTGTTGCAACCTATGTGACAAACGATTCAGTCAATATGTAACTTTAATCTCACATAAACAGCATATTCATCTAGTTTAAACATACTACTGAAGACACACTACAAACAGTGTTATGATGTGTAGTTAATCAAGGTATGTTGGTGTTGGTGTGAAAGATATAATGATGACATAATAATGAAAGATAGTGACATTTTGTGTAGAAACTGGTTGCTGTGTATTGTGCGTGTGAGTTAATCTTAGTCTTGGTGAAAGGGTGTATATGACCAGTGTGACTCAGTCAGTAGCGAGAATTGTGAGACATTCATATGGATGACGATTATAAGCAGAATGTGTATAATAAATTACTTACTTACTTAATCCTCATCACTCCCTGTGGAGTATAGGGCAGCAACAAATCTCCGCCATTCCACCCTGTCCTGGGCGAGCCACTTTAGTTCATGCCAGGTTTTGCCAGTAGCCTGTACTTCTTCTTCTATCTCCCTCCTCCATGTTCCCAGTGGTCTTCCTCTATTTCTCTTTCCACTTCAGCGCCATGTTGGGGAGTCTTTTTTTTTGCTCATGCGTAGGACATGGCCCAGCAATCTCCATCTCCTCGTTCGAACTTCTGAAACAATGTCGTTTAATCCTGTCCTTCGCCATATTTCCTTGTTTGGGACTTTGTCATCCCACTTTATCCTGAGGATGCTTCGGAGGGATCTTCTTTCAAAGCCTCTGAGTCGGCTCTCTCCAGAATGTGTATAATAAATATCAGAAGAAAAACCTATTTTCATCTTGTCAATAAATTGTCACCTGTGTCGTCTAGACGTGTAATGGTATAATGACTGCCTATGTTGTCTGATATTCTCACATGGGGGGGGGGGGGGTTGTAAAATGTTTAATCTGCTCAAGTTACAGCTATTTCCAACAGTGGGCTTGTGTCTCTTTCAAAGCCATCATACTGTAAATTTTTTTTTTTTTTTACTTTTTATAAGTTTTTTTATATCTGCTTGTCACATATCAAGAAATGTATTGTGTTATTTATTGGAAGTCTGTGTTACCTTCTTTCTATTTGAAGCTTATCTGAAGTTTTGGTAACTGTATTTTCTTATATAACTAGTAATTTGATTTATGTTGACACATTTACTAGTAATAGTTAAGCCGTTTAGGCTTTTATATTCTTGTCTTTAACATATGATAAAGCTTTTCTATTGCTTATGATACACATTGAAATTTATTGGACACATAAGAAAATAAACTTGTTAATTAACAGTTTTTCTGAAATATCTGCAGCGATGTAACACCTCGTCAATCTCTGTTGAGGCTACATCATAGGATTAATTTAAACCCATAACGAGACAAATGGTGTTGAAAAATTACACACTTGATTCTTTATGTCATCTTATCAACTTTAAATGTAATTATCAAACCAATACAGCATTTTGATAGTAGTGACAGTTTAATTTTGGATGATGACTGTTACACTTGCTTTTCTTTTAAACTTTTAATATTATTTAAGTTATTTAAGTTCCTGTAAATTATCAAACTTTATTTAAATTACCACAAGTTCTATCAATTTAAAAAAGCATTAGTATTTTGCAAAATTAAGGTCTTAATGTTTTGTACTGGGCTTTGTGCATCAGTAGAAGTGATGTCACAATTAGCAGTCTTTTAACACTATCTTAACCAAATTCTCCTCTTTATTTCTAAAGAGCTAATTATTACACAAATATTTTTTTTTAATTTTCTGGGTTTTTTTTTTAATTTACATTAATTTGGTTTTAAATTGTCAATTAAATAGTTAAATTCTGTCTAATCTGAAATATATGCCTATTTCTGTTTTTTTTATTTACCTGTTGGATTCTTTAATTTTGTTAATTATGTTTATAAATTTTGACATAAATTTTTCTCAGCTGTAAACATTATTGTTGAGATTCATTTCTAATTGCGTTTGTGTTGAGGTTGTATTTTTCAAATTGTATGTGGCCAGCTATTAACTCTTTTGTTAAATAAACTCATAGTATTTACAAAATTAAGTCTCGAACTTGAATGCAGGTTAAATTAATGTATGTGGCATGTGGTTAAATAAACTAACAGTATTTTCTAAAATAAGTCTCGAGTTTGAATGCGGGGTAAAGTCAGTAGAATGTTCCAGAGTTCACCCAGCTCTGATGTGTACCTGACTAACATTATGGAAAGCAAAGACGGCTGGGCATAGTGCTGACCACACTATCCCTTTAGGTGCTGAAGTCTCTGAAAAATGAACTCTACTTCATGTTCTTGGACACGAAAAGAAGATGATGATGATTTACATAAAGACTAAGAACAAATGACCATATTTCATTTGATGAGACTAAACCTATGTAATTGACCATATTATCTATGTTATGATGCATGTTTGACTGGGGAAATCGGTAAGGCACGATTGATGGTGCGGCCGTATATTGAACGAGTGAATGTGTGACGAGATAGGAAAGATAGTGACGTTTTAGGTTAGAGAGTTGGTTGCTATGAACTTGTGGGTGAGTTAGTCGAATCCTTATTGTTGGTGTGAATGGACGTGTGTTGATTGACAGGACTCAAGTTGAGAGATAGGGTTTAGGAAGATAGACATATGTAGGTACAAGATTAAAAGATTCGTACAAGGATTTCTTGGTTCATCTTATTTCTGATCGTTTATCGTTGATCTGTCTGAATATAATATAGCCTTAGTGGTTCTCAAGGTGTAATACTCTCTCCCTGGTATTGGAGAGGAGTCAAATGGTTGTTGGCTGAGTCAAGTAAATTAAACCCTCTCACTACACTGCAACATAGCGCAGTAGAACAGCAACCTAATAACCATAACCATCTATCTACCCTTCCCTAGGTCAGTGCAACCATGGTGAAACCCACGGTGGTTAAATCTTATCCTTAACCTTAGTCTAAATAAAAACACAAACCACTACAAATAAAACAAAAAAACTAAACAATTTACAGAATTTATTGCATGAAATAAAATGGTACAAAAAAAAACGTAAACATTAAGTCAAATTCAAAACATCCTAATGCAACACTAAACAATCACCAAACAAAACACAACGTTGAATGGGATATTATGTACCTTCGGTACCTCGGAGTCTAGGCTCTGAACACACAGGCAACCATCCTTACCAGTGCTGACACCGAAACGCATTCTAATATCCGCACCAAACATCAAACAAAACAATACATACAAAACAATACGTCCTAAACACTACGTACAAAACAATATATACAAAACACCCAGCCAAGTTGCACACACAACCTCACTGGAAGGGGGTGGGGGAGAGAGAAAAAAGAAAAGGAAAACATAAGAAAATGCATGGAAAAATATATACATCAATATATACATATGTTTAAATACTACTGATTACTACTAAAGATATCTAAAGCCTCGAGTAAAGTACTAATCCCACATACTACCGCTAATCCTAGAATTCTAAATCAATTCTCAAAACCACAATTAATCACTAACCAATAAATTAGCCAATTAAAATAACTTGCAATAAAAATCATCATGGTAGAACCAATCTATCCTACACAAGGAGCAGCACGAAGCCATTGGTTTACCTATACAACATCCACATTGATAACAATACAGTTAACACACCCCGCTAAGGCCCCAAATAAGGGTAGACACAAAGCAAAAAATTCTGTCTTTGTCGAATAGTTAGAGGCGGACACATACGAATCGTTCAGCGGGCACCATGGCGCCCGCGGGAACCCCTGGCCTATATGAATAAGTGAAGAAAATTATTTTATTATCTTTTCAATCACATAGCATGCAAAGACGAGTCTGAGATTTGGCATAAAGTTCATATTGAGAAGGTGTGAAGAAAGATAAAAATCTATATATAACTTGTTACAAATGCATTTAAATAAACTTTAAAAAAAAACATCTAGCAAAAGTAAGAAAGTGACCATAAGCCTTAGCAATGGTTGGAGCAACATGAAACTTGGGGTTAGTTCCATAAGACATGTAAATAGTGGGGAGGGAGAGGAAGTTTTTACATATGGTCTGTTTGAGTTATACATTGCAGCCAGTAGAGTTTGGTCATAGGATTTGTGATTCTATACCTCTCAATATAATGATTAAAGGCATTTAGCAAAAGATGAAAAAGTTTTTACAAAAATATTTTGTCTGCTCGGAAGTTTTGATGTCACCGTACCTGTTGGCCAGATGCCACTGTGACTGCCGGCCTGATGTCATTGTACTTGTCTAATGTAGGTCCTATTAACTGTTAACACGATATTCTGTCATGTCACTGTTTGTCCGATTGAGCTGTTAGTGAGTAGTGTAAATACTATAAAGTTAAGAATTGTTTAACAGTAGGGCCTACATATATTGTAAACATCTAGTAAATGTAAATAATACATTAAACTTGAACAGCGTGTTTTATTTTAATTAGCTTCTGTTATTGTTAATGTGTAATTGGTTTCATCAGGTTCCTTATCCCAATGAATGTGCATTGTCAACTTTATATAATCTGAAACAGGCAAATTAACTGTGTGGCCTGAACAAAATCATGCTGGTATAAAAATAAAACCCTCGGCCCCTAAAGTGATAGCTTACTTCTCCTATCATACATATTTACAAATAACACAAAAAGAAGTAGGATACTTAAAGAAGAAATGTACACATGCAGCTGACAATAGGATGCTACTTCCTTTTACAGTCAGAATACAATTTCTTTTTCGAGTATCTATAATAATTGACGAGGTATACTCTTTGACAAAAGAACCTTTTTATAATACAAATGTTTATCAACTATGGCTCACTATTGGAAGTTATGTGCAGAGAAAAATTATAAGAAATTTATTAATAACAATTTGCTATAGATATTAATTGTTTATGTTAAAAAATGATTTTAAATTGGTTTTAAGTCATGATGAATTTCTTTGACTATATAAAGTAAAATTATAAGAAAATATTTCCTTACCAACATCAAATTCCTCTGTCTTACATATAGATCTAGAATGAATTTTTTTAGACTATTTAAATTTGAGAAAATTGTTTATGTAAAACATCAATTAGACTACAACTTCTAGAAAACCTTTAATGACATATACCACTTTCATATAGCTTGTCTCATAAATGAACTTTTTCATGTGCACTTAATTGAGAACGTAAAAAAACCATTTATGGCCAAAAAAAAGTTTTTTTATGTGTAGTTAAACTATTCTGAGTAAATCATTTAGGATTAACATCAAATTCATATGGATTTTTTCCCAAATGAACAAAATTGTCTTAATAAATCACACTTACAAGCAAATTTTATAGGACAAACATCACATTCATCATGTGGCCTTTCATCTGAATGAATATTTTTGTGTTCTTAAATTGGAATATTGAGAAAACATATTATATTAAACATCACATTCATGTGGTTAATCTCCTGAATGAACCTTTTTATGTGTTCTTAAATGAGAACTATTTGAAAACCTTTTCTGACAAACATCACATTCATGTGGCCTTTCACCTGTATGAACCTTTTTATGTCTTCTTAAATGAGAACTATTTGAAAATCTTTTCAGACAAACATCACATTCAAATGGCTTATCTCCAGAATGAACAATTTTATGTCGTAAGAGATCCTGCGTATCCACAAATTTTTTATGACAAACATCACAATTTTCTCCTGAATGAATCTTTTTATGTTTACCTAAGTTAGATTTTCAAGTAAACCTTTTATGACAAACATCACATTCATACGGCTTATCTCCAGAATTAAATAACTATTCTGAGTAAATCATTTAGGACAAACATCTAATTCATATGGCTTTTCCCCCAAAAGAACAAAATTATCTCTTAATAAACCACATTTCCAAGCAAACCTTATAGGACAAACATAACATTCATCATGATTCAGGTGGCCTTTCCGAATGAATCTTTTTATGTGTTCTTAAAGTAAAATTTCTAGAAAATCTTTTATGACAAACATCACATTCATGTGGCCTTTCACCTGAATGAACCTTTTTATGTTTACTTAAGTTAGAACTATCTAAAAACCTTTTCTGACAAACATCACATTTATGTGGCCTTTCACCTGTATGAACCTTTTTATGTCTTCTTAAATGAGAACTATTTGAAAATCTTTTCAGACAAACATCACATTCAAATGGCTTATCTCCAGAATGAACAATTTTATGTCGTAAGAGATCCTTCATATCCACAAATTTTTTATGACATACATCACAATTATACATCTTTTCTCCTGAATGAATCTTTTTATGTTTACCTAAGGTAGACCTTCGAGTAAACCTTTTATGACAAACATCACATTCAAATGGCTTATCTCCAGAATGAACATATTTGTGATAACTTAAACCAGAACTTTGAGAAAACCTTTTATGACAAACATCACATTCATATGGCTTATCTCCAGAATTATATGCCTTTTCTTCTGAATGCTTCTTTTTATGTGTACTGAAGTTACACCTTTGAGAAAACTTGTGATGACAAACATCACATTCATATGGCTTATCTCCAGAATGAACATTTTTGTGATATGACAAATTTATCTTCTGACTAAACTTTTTATGACAAATATCACATTCATATGGCTTTTCTCCAGAATGAACATTTTTATGTATTTTTAATTCACAATTTCTAGAAAACCTTTTATGACAAACATCACATTCATGGGGTTTATCTCCTGAATGAATCTTTTTATGTGCTCTTAACTGAGAACTAGAAAATCTTTTATGACAAACATCACATTCATGTGGCCTTTCTCCTGAATGAACCATTTTATGTTCTCTTAAATGAGAACTTTGAGAAAACCTTTTAAGACAGACCTCACACTTATATGGCTTATCTTTAGAATGAACATTGTTATGCATATTACTTTCAGAACTTTGAGAAAATGTTTGATGATAATAAACAATTTTATTTCCGTTGTCCCTAGACAATTGTAGATTTTCTGAATGAACTTTTTTATGTCTTTTTAAATTAGAACTTATAGAAAACCTTTTATAACAAACATCACATTTATATGGCCTTTCTCCTGAATGAACTTTTTTATGTTCTCTTAAATGAGAACTTTGAGAAAACCTTTTAAGACAGACCTCACACTTATATGGCTTATCACCAGAATGAACTTTTTTGTGTAATGATAAATGTATCTTCTGACTAAACTTTTTATGACAAACAGCACATTCATGTGGCCTTTCTCCTGAATGAACCATTTTATGATTTCTTAAATAACAAATATGAGAAAACCTTTTATGACAAACATCACATTCATGTGGTTTATCTCCTGAATGAATCCTTTTATGTGCTTTTAACTGAGAACTAGAAAATCTTTTATGACAAACATCACATTCGTGTGGCCTTTCTCCTGAATGAACCATTTTATGTTCTCTTAAATTAGAACCTTGATAAAACCTTTTATGACAAACATCACATTCATGTGGTTTATCTCCTGAATGAACTTTTTTATGTAGTTTTAAATTAGAATTTCTAGAAAACCTTTTATGACAAACATCACACTCATATGGCTTATCTTCAGAATGAGCATTGTTATGCATATTACTTTCAGATCTTTGAGAAATTTTATATTCGTTGTCCCTAGACAATTGTAGATTATCTTCAAGTCCATTTTCTTGTATATCCTCAAAAAATAAAAATTCTGTTGTGAAATCTTGTTTTAAATTTTCAGTAGTTGATAATTCTGGTTTTAAACTTTCAGATGTTAAAAATTCTGCTGATGCAGCAGGTTTCTTATTAATTTTTTCAATTGAAAATGTATTATCAGGTTTAACATCTTGATAAGTTTTAAATGACATGTTAGGTTTTATATCCTGAACATTAAAAAATGATAATTCTGGTTTTACTTTTATGTCATTAGAAGAAGAAAATTCTGAATTAATATCAGGTTTAACATCTTGAGAAGTTTTAAATGACATGTTAGGTTTTATATCCTGGAAATTAATAAATGTCAATAATTCTGTTTTGATGCCAGCAGAAGATGAAAATATGGCCGATAGATCTGGTTTCAAATCTTCAGAAGATGAAAACTCTGTCAATTCATTTGACTGTATTTCTACAGTAGATGAAACTGCAGCTAACACATCTGTTTCCTCCTCCATGCTGCACAGCTTCTTAGATATGAACTGATGATTTAAAAAATGTAAATGTTAAACTGGAGATTAAATAATCCAAACAACTTATTACTAAAAACATTGCAAAATTTGTAACACATGCCAGACTTTTGTCAGTCTGTTTACTAATGATTACTCCGTCAGATGTAATTTTAAAATAGACAACCAGTAATGCAAAGTAATTAGGACTGCATATTAATATCTGAAGCTACCAGTTTCTTAAAAATTCTTTTTAAAAATAGAAATACTAAGATATTAATAATAAAAATCAAAACTTTAATTGCTTTTGTTAGTTTTTAAATGTAAGTAATAAGTGCTTAATCTTATCCAAATATGTAATAAAAGTGTTAAAATTAATTTTAATTACAGTTCTAAACTGTCATAAACAGCTTAATAAACACTTGATCTCTTCAGGCAGCTTGGCACTAATTTGCACTTTTTGTAGTTTTGTGACAATATTTGTACACAATAGGACTTGTAATTTCTTGCAACAATTGTAAAAACTTTCAATGCTATTTTATTCGTATGGCTGGGAACTAATATATGTGCATGCATAAAAGTTTTATGTATATGGATTTATTAATTTGTTTACAGGTAGTGCAACGAAGGCTAGGGGACGATACTGTCACTCTTCTAAACTAGCTTAGCTATTTTAACCCTTTATTTACGGAATAATGTTCTGCATGAGATTTTTACTTAAACAATGCGTTACTATATTGCTTTTGGCACATTCAAAGCATATTTCGAAGGAAATTTCGTTTCATAAATTTGTAATGGCCCAAACTAGGACATTTTTTTTCAAAAAATTTTTTTTTACAAAACAGGAACAAACGATACAATTTATTAACTAATAACACGGCAATCATTATAACAATCACTTTTTGTAATTTTCACACATAAATATAGCACAACAGTATATTTAGAACACGATTTTTACTGGATTTTCTATCGGAACACATCTTAGACCTCAAACACAGCAAAAGTAGTCGACATGTCATGCTTCCTCAATCTTGTCTGTGGTCTTTCTGGTGTAGCAATGGTTGCCGGAATGAATATTCTTTTGCTGGAAGCTTCCAATAACTAGTACAACGAGCCGCATAAACAAACAAAAGCCTAGTCATTCAGCACACAACTACTAGTAATACTAGTATAATTGTAGCCTACTAGAATGTTATGACAAGTCTACACCTGACGGTACTTATAAGTCCACTTGTAAACATCGATCTAATACAAAGGCAATTTGATTAAAAGTATATAACTAGAAGTTAAACTCGTTTACCTGACTATTGAAGGTGCCAATAAAAAATATTTGGGGTTGAAAACTTGAAAAATAAGGTAAAACAAAGGGAAATCAAGAACATGTGTGAGAACTGTCAGAAAAATTGATAACTACCGCTATAGCAAGACATTGAAAATGCCGCCACACCAGTAATTTTCAAAAAACATTGATCCCACCGACTACCGGCGACTCAGGGGAGACAATACTATTAATTACTTCAATAATTTAAAATAATTCGTATTAAATTAAAAATAATACAGGCACTTAATTAAAGTGGTACTTATAAGTACCGTCAGTAGATAAAGGGTTAAACTACGGAATGAACACTACACCAATGGTGTCCTCTTCCAGTTTTAGAATATAAAGAAATGAACTATTTCATTCAAATTTGACTTAGATCTAGATTTTATAAATTTACTTATCAAGACCTACACTATGTATACAATTTTCTCGGTCAAACTAATGGAGAGGTTGCACACACATGACCAAAACCACATGATGTTTACATCCACAGCCGTGTTGATGCCCTAGCCCAGCACTGGTATTCTCTATGTATTTTATATTGCTAGTCCCTAAGTTTATTTTAAAAACTAGCCTCCCACAGAACAGTAACAATATTTGAAGGAACTTAAATTATTCAGGAACCTATTTTTTTTTTTATTTTTGTCCAGCTGATAGACAATATGAATATAATAAATAACTGCCAAAATGTAAACATCTATCGGAATCTATCCAAACAAAAGTGAAAGCCACAACTCCAGAGAGTCAGCCTCAAGAATACCCAAGATTCTAGAAAGTTCAACCTCACAACAATCGTTGTGGTCTTGGATGCACACTATTAAGTATGAAAACGTCTATTAGTCATTCATGTCAACTATATTGAAAAAAAAAGGAAAAACTATACAGGCATATATTAAAACAATACAAAAAAATTTAATTAAACAACAAAATCAACACACCAGACATGCAAAGAGATAATTCTTCAAGGGAAATCACTCTATTATTGTTTTTGAAACATGGCCTCTGTTTGTATTTACTCATTGTCTCGAACGGGGTAGTTTAAAGTTTATTCCAGGATATTTTTGGCTGGTTTGGTCATAGATTGTGATTTGTTATTCAATTATCTGTTATATTATGTAAAATATGTAATAAATATGGCCAAATGAAAGAAATATTCATTAGTTACCTCCAGCGCACAGTACTAGCTAGTAGCTACTTTGGAAATTATGATGCTAAACTAAGGTTTTACCGAGAAGAGTTATGATGACTATTATTAGTTAATCTCCTTACCAAAACCGGAAGTCAGAGCCTGACCCTGAAATGTCATGCTCTTTTGGTTTTTGCATTTTTAGTGTTTTTGGGGGGGTCCTATATACAAAAATGAAAAAACTGCTAATCTAGCGATATCTCATCATTATTTTAATGCGAAATGCTAAGGAAATGGATACTATGGCTTAAATGCCAGAAAAATTTGCGAGATATGTAGTTATAATTAATACAAGCATTGCTTATTGAGCACTCTCAGGAGAAACTGAACTTCAACGAAAAACGACCGACCACCGGGCAACAGCGCTCGACAGCTCCTAGATAAATATATGTTTCAGATATTTACCATGATAAATTACATTGATGATGTTTCCCCTTTCCAAAATCCAATTCAACATAGAAATACCATGCCTCTGCTATTTTTATTAACGTTACGTCATTGTTACGCTAGTTGTCAGATAGAAACAACTAATTTTTCCTTTTTTTTGCGGAATGCACTGTTAAGTCTAGTATTTTAATTATAATTCAGTTGTAGCGTGTGTAGAAATTGTGGACATTATTATTGTATTAAAGTATAAGAAATTTTATAAGTATATTGATGTTTTCCTTCACTGCAAGCCAAGTAGGCCGACTGCACTGTTAGTTTTATTGAACATAATTCGTGACCGGTCGTTAATCTTGTAAATACTAGATCTAAATACTTTGTGGTCTACCCGACTGCATAATTTATATGAAATTATATGTAGTTTTTAATTAGGCCTTAGTGTTGTATTTTAAACAATGCTCATTCCGAGCCTTTTTTATGCTAAATCTAATTAGGCTTACTGGCAATTTTTTTTATTTTTAGACTTGGTCAACCTCGTAATGCTGTTGTGTTAGTTAAACATATATAGGAACTGTGTGTAAAATTTACGCAGTTACTCAGTTACAACGTAGTACGATATCAATAAATAAAGTAGTAGGCCTATTTATTTCCTTTTAGCAATCTTTTGATACAAAATGTCTAATATTTTATTTTCCAATACATCGTAGTGTGTGGCAGAGTAAACAGAACGGTGCGGTAGGTGACCTAGAATCTCCGAGTTGGAATCCGAAGTAAACAGTTGTGCTTTATTTTATTGTTTCACATAGGAAATGCCACGAGCGGCTTTATTTTCTTTCTTTTTTAAAAATATTTTTTTGATCGAAATAATATTTTATAAAATAATTATTCAAGATTTTCCAAACATCGTCGCTCGCATCGCTCGCGAGATCGACTTCTTACATTTTCTTGTCTGCGGGAGAAAAATGTTGACACGGTCGAGGGTTTACCATGAGTTCAGCAGGCCTACCATAACATATGTCACAGCATTAACGATTGAGATCGTCTGTGGGCAATCCCACCTAATGCTACTACAGAAGAGAAAAATAATTATAGAGTATTTATTTTAAAGTTTTAAAAAAAGTTGATTTATCATCTTACCTAATACTGTATTGTCTTAGAATGTCTAGATCTAGATTTCTGTCAGATCTATTTTTAGTTTTGGATATTAATTTTATTATCATCTTCATGGGTATTGATTGTTCAATTTATCATGGAAGGCCTAATGTCTTAAATTGTACATTATACATAGAATTTATAATAAATATGTCTGATATTTCTTTAATAAACATAATGAATATAAAGTTTTATTTCCAACAAAATGTTTTGCTTTTTTTTTGGTAACTAAAATACCCAATGTTGTCGTAATTGCTATGACATCATGCTAGGAATGGACAAAATAAACCAACGTAACTTTTTGAGTTTTTTTGATGGTGAAAAAGAGTTTCGCATTTTAAGAAGTTAATTGGTCATTTTGTTTTTGTTTGTTTTCTTGGCCCCTAATTAAGCTAGACCATTAAATTTGGTCTCAAATTAACCAGTAAGTGATATAGTTTGTAATGATATATCATAAGTGACAGACAATTTTAATTAAAAAATTTAATAAGAAAACCTACTATTATTGAGTAATATTATTATAATATGAGATCTGATCCAACTTTCTCAGCCATCGGCATAATTTTACCCCACTAAGTCAGTACTACTTCTACTACATTAACTACACTACTTATACTACACTGAGTCACACTCCATTGATAATCTGGATTTTAAATACTTAAATGTAAGCTCGAAAAACGTTTTTTTTTCTCTGGGGAAGTGTTTTATTATTACTCAATCAATCAGTCCGTCAAAAGTTTTCAAAACCCTTCACCTTTTCCGGAATCGGCGTTTAGATTATTATAAAATGGCGTCCTATGAGGTTTTTAATATGGTCGTCTGTACGGGCAAAGGTTTGTTTCGAACGTTGATTTATTATATAATTCTATTTTTGTATCATAGTGAAGATGTTATAATATTATGTACAAATAAAAAACTTAATTATACACACACCTGCTTTAGTTTATTTTGACTTCAAGCACAGGAGTGACTTTCCCTCGTTGGCCTCGTGAAAGACAAAGAAAGAAATCAGGTAAAGCTAGCATTATTAAAATGTTAATTATTCGCCCCGTAAATACATGGGCAGTTTCGATACAAATCTATGCGATTACGATACGATCCTTATTTATAAGTATCATGTACTTCATGAGAAAGAAATGAATCGATATTTTATGTCCGCCCAAAACACGGTGGCCACGAACGAGACTTCACAAAGCGAAAACCCTAATAGATCTAGAAATCTATAAAGTAATAAAGTTAAATAAAGTCTAGATTCTAGTGTCTAGATACGACGTAGACTGTCGTAGATCTAGGAACCTTTTTTTTCTACATTTACTATATTATAGGCCTGCTATTTAGTCATTTACTATTTATTTAACAAACTTACTAAACAATACTATTACTACATGACACATGAAGTATTTTACAGTAAAATTTAAATTTTTTTACTATTTTGTTAGATTATTATTTACGAGCCGGCCCGCGGCATAACATACGCCGCTATTTAGATCTAGTTGTTTCTAATTTTCAATAATTCATAATTTGTGAATTCGACAGTACCAACACTGACACTGAAAATATTTCTTTAAAACACTATAAGTAGCTCGTTAAGGACCATAACCCCCCCCCCTTCCTTCCCCCCCCCTCCCCCCCCTACGTTTAAAATCGTTGGCTCTGCTTGTAAACATTTAGAGTGAACACAGCTCACTAAAACCATGTAGGGGTTGGGAGGTAGGGAGAGCGTTTGCAGCTTGTATTCTAACGGCTCGAAGAAGAGAATTATATATATAGATTAGGCTACGTGTTATTAGTTTGTATTATTAATTATACTTTTGGGTAATTAATACTAATAGTGTAATAGTCTTATACATTTGTAGTAAATTTATAAGTAATCTATCATCATTTTATATGTGACTCAATAAATTTTAGTAATTATAAGGAGGATTTATGTTAGTTCACATCCAGTGACTGATTAAAACACCCAGTTCTCCTTGGTATTTTTAATATAGTATAGATGCGATAGTATTGGTAACTATTAATTTTAATAATTTATAGATCTAGGCCTAAATTAAAATAGTAAAAATTCTAGATGATCTAGCCTAAAAAATGTTTATCACAAATGTGCCAAATACATAATTGAATTATAGAGTGATAGTAAGTAATATATTGTATTGAAAGAACAGTGTAAATTTTTGACATAAAATATTTAATTTGTCATGAGCTGTTATAAAAATCTTAGACATCATGTCTTATTTATATATATATAATTCTCTTCTTGTAGACCCTAGAAAACACCAAGCTGTAAGCCCGCCTAGCAACTTCCTCTCTAGGCATATCGCTACCACCTCCATCCCAACATGGTCTGGTGAGCTGTGGTTCACGCTAAATGTTTACAATCATAGAGCCGGGTTTAGTGACTGCTAGAGGGCTGGTACCAGCCATATTAGGGGCAGATAAAACGTTTGAAATGAATTTAAACTTAGGGGAGGGAACTAAAAGGAGGCTGCTTTCACTGGGGGGGGGGGGAGAAAGAAGGGTTTTAGTGTTTTAAAGCAAATATTTTTAGTGGCAGCATTGGTACTGTCGAATTCACAAAGGATGAATTACTGAAAATTAGAAAATAAAACAATATATGGCGGTGTATAATACGCCACGAGTCTGCTTGTATTAAATAATCAATTAGTAATTTAACTATTAAGCATAATTTTAAATGTACAGTTGATATTTAATAGACTATTTAAATTAATTAATTTATTTTTTGAATGACAACCATATAGCGAAACAACATAATTGTGCCCAACCATTACTTACATTTAACATAAGGCAATTATTTATTATTATAATATAAATAACCAACTGTACATCAAGCCTCTAAGCTGAAAGTAACTACTAAAAATCTAGAATAGTGATGGAGCCTAACTATTTTAAAATTTAGACTGTCTAGCTCTAAAGAAGATCTTTTTGTTTAAATGTCACTATTTGTGTTTCCCGGCTAGGCTGAAAGAAATATTTCTTATTTAATTTATTAGAAGAACCTTAGTTGTCATTAACATTTTCTATCATTACTGATATAACAAAATTTTAAATTACATTTTTAATTTAAAATAATTAAATATTATCAAATATTTCTCTTTCAGCTCTAACTGTTTGATCAAGTGGATACCTCTGATTAATTTAATAACTCTAGCATTATAGAACATAGAAAATGAGAGAGCAAGTAGGTCACTGTGACATCTGTTCAAGAACATTTTCATCTTTTCAAAGATTACAAAAACATTGGAACAAAACGCACACAGAAGAGCAAGCCATAAACTGTTGTTTTTGTGATTTTATAGTTGCAGAGGAGCCGTTGTTTGCTAAACATAAAAAAGAATTTCATCCAAACTATCGGATGGTGTGTGAGTTTTGTGCTTTTACCACCAGGAAATGGAGCAAGCTGAAAAAACATCATACAGAAGTTCATGTGGCTTTGTATAAAGAAAACATTGCTACTGGTTTACATAATGACAACTTTAAAAATAAATCTGTGATATCTTCATGTAAATACCCAACAGATTACAGATCCACTTCTTCAACTTGTGGAAATTTTGAAGTCAAGTGCTTAATACAGAAGGAGAAAGAAAATGTATCATCAACTAATGAAAAGACAGCTGAGCTTTACCACAATAAATTCAAAACATGTGACGAATTGCAGAACATAAATTAAATATACCTCAAAAGTCACAAAGTTTAACTTGGCAAAAATGTGAATGTGCTCTGGAGAATTGTAAAGCTTGTCAACTTCCCCATAATGATAAAGAGATAGTCAGTGAGCCTCTAGCTGAGATTTCTGTGTGTGATATTTGCCAAAAAAGTTTTAAATCCGTATCTCATTTGACTTCTCATAAACTTGTGCACACTCCAATGCAATGTACATATGTTGCCACTGTGATAGAAATTTTAGCATCGCTAAAGAGTATGATCTACACTTAACAACGCATTTTAGGTATAAACCATTTAAATGTGAACTTTGTGAAAAATGCTATGCAGATAAACAATACCTAAAAGCTCACATTAGATTGCATAATGGAGAATCAATTCACAAATGTGAGAAATCCAATTACGTAACACCTCATCTGTCTCATTCAAATCCTCAAGCAGACAAATGTGTTGAAAAATTGCACACTTGTGATATTTGCCAAAAATGTTTTTATTCTTTAGATCACTTTTTATCTCAACTGGTACATATACCTACCAAGCTTTATATATGTGGTCATTGCGACAGAGGATTTAACTTTCCTGATGATTATGATCTACACCTGACAAAAACACATTATAAATATAAGCCTTTTAAATGTACATTATGTGAGAAATCTTTCACCAAGAAAGGAGCATTAAGAGTTCATACTAGCAAACACACAATGGATTTACTGTTTAAATGCTCTAAATGTGAATACACAACTAACAAAAAAACTCCATTCTCAGTTCACCAGAGAAACCACATGAATACAAAACCTTACAAATGCAATGCTTGTGACTATTCAACTGCTTCTGAAGGTACTCTAGTAAACCATTTAAGGATTCACTCTGGTGAGAAGCCTTTTTGTTGCGACCTATGTGATAAAAGATTTAGTAGGCGTTTACATTTACTCTCCCACAAACGGCATATCCATCTAATTTAATGGTTCCACTGACGACACACTATGCATAGGCTGATACTGCTGTGCCTGAAGAAATGAAAATTTATGCTGCAAATTTTTATTTTTCTTTTATTTTGACATCATTATTAAAACACTGGTGCTTTTTGCATGCCACTAATTCTGTTTATACCCAATCACAGTTAGATGTTGATTGTGGACGGGGGAGGTGTTAAATCTGCTCAAGTTACAGCTATTTCCAACAGTGGGCTTGTGTTTTTTTTATTGTCATAGTACCACAAAGTATTTTTTTAACTTTTAAAAGTTTTTTGTAAAAGCTTGTCATATATTGAGTAATGTATTTAGTTGTGTATTCGAAGTCTGTGATATCTTCTTTCTAATGTGAAGCTTATCTGAAGTTTTGGTAACTGTATTTTCTTATATAACTTTTATCATACACTTTAAATTTTTTTAGACACATAAGAAAATAAACTTGTTAATTAAGAGTTCTTATGAAATATCTGCAGTTATGTAACACCTCATTGATAGCTGTATAGGATTAGTTCAAACCCATCGAGACAAATGGTGTTGGAAAAATTAAACACTTGATTCATGTCATCTCATCCACTTTATATGTAGTCATTGAACAGATTTTAACTTAGCTGACGCTTATGATATACACCTGGCATAAATATGTTAAAAGCCTTTAAAAATACATTATATAACAAATGTTCTACTTGGAAAGTTACACTAAGACTTCACACAAGCATATACACACCAGAATTCTACTTATAATATAAGTGTTGAAAATGTGAATACACAATAAAACAAGTTCTGTCCACCAGCAAATTTACAAATTTATTTATGTATCCTGGTAATTATCAAACCAATACACAGTATTTTGACAGTAGTGATAGTTTGATTTTGAATGATGACTGTTACATTTGTTTTTTTTTTTTACTTTCTCGTATATACAAAGTATAGAGAAAGTCTTGTAATCGTGCAAAAATTAGCCAGTTATACAAAGAGTAAGTACCCTAAAATTTGTGTAGAAATTACCCTGTTTTCCCCATAAAAGACAAAGATTATATAGGGAAATACGACTGGTCAGTTTTGACCCGTTTGCCGATTTTTCCCGGACATGGCGAGTTTTTTGTGACACCCCAAGGCGTTCTCCTACCACCTCACAAAATATCAAGGGGGGTCGTCGTCGGAAATTTTTTTTCGTAATAGAGCTCATATAAAGAGAATTTCACTCGCGGTCACTTTTTAGCCCTCGTCGAGAGCTTTGAGTGAAACCGACAGGTCTGCCCTACGACCAAGCTATTTACCTATAAGCATGCAAAAACTTAGCCAGATGTAAAGAGGGTAAGTGCCCTAAAATCCGTTTTGAAATGACCCTCTGTTTTCCCCATAAAATACAAAGATTATATAGGGAAATACGACAGGTCAGTTTTGACCCATTTCCCGATTTTTCCCGGACATGGCGAGTTTTTTCTGACACCCCAAGGCGTTCTCCTACCACCTCACAAAATGTCAAGGGGGGTCGTCGGAGGAAATTTTTTTTCGTAATAGAGCTCATATAAAGAGAATTTCACTCGCGGTCACTTTTTAGCCCTCATCGAGGGCTTTTAGTCAAACCGACAGGTCTGCCCTACGGCCAAGCCATTTACCTATAAGCAAGTCAAAACTTAGCCAGATGTAGAGAGGGTAAGTGCCCTAAAATCCGTTTTGAAATGACCCTCTGTTTTCCCCATAAAATACAAAGATTATATAGGGAAATACGACTGGTCAGTTTTGACCCATTTCCCGATTTTTCCCGGACATGGCGAGTTTTTTGTGACACCCCAAGGTGTTTTCCTACCACCTCACAAAATATCAAGGGGGGTCGTCGGAGGAAATTTTTTTTCGTAATAGAGCTCATATAAAGAGAATTTCACTCGCGGTCACTTTTTAGCCCTCGTCGAGGGCTTTGAGTGTAACCGACAGTTTTACCTAAAGGTCAAGTCATTGACCTAAGAGTATGCAAAAAATTAGCCAGATATACTGAGCTTAAGTACCCTAAAGTCTGCGTTGAAATGACCCTCCGTTTTTCCCATAAAATACAAAGATTATATAGGGAAATACAACTGGTCAGATTTGACCCCTTTACGAAGTTTTCCCAGATATGCCGAGTTTTTTGTGACACCCCAAGGCATTCTCCTACCACCTCACAAAATATCAAGGGGGGTCGTCGTCGGAAATTTTTTTTCGCAATAGAGCTCATATAAAGAGAATTTCACTGGCGGTTACTTTTTAGCCCTCGTCGAGGGCTTTGAGTCAAACCGACAGTTTTCCCTAAAGGCCAAGCCATTTACCTAGGAGCATGCAAAAAATTAGCCAGCTATACTGAGTTTAAGTACCCTAAAGTCTGCGTTGAAATGACCCTCCGTTTTTCCCATAAAATACAAAGATTATATAGGGAAATACAACTGGTCAGATTTGACCCCTTTACGAAGTTTTCCCAGATATGCCGAGTTTTTTGTGACACCCCAAGGCATTCTCCTACCACCTCACAAAATATCAAGGGGGGTCGTCGTCGGAAATTTTTTTTCGTAATATAGCCCATATAAGGCGCCGGTCAGTCGAGGTCAGTTTTGACCCCCTCTCAGTAGACTTTTCGCCAAACCGTCACCGGCCCTCGTGTTCTTTCGACCCAAGGCACCATCGTTCCAAATTTGACGCGCCTGCGGCGCCGGGAAGTGCCCTATCGGGCACCCGACCACTTTGCTTTATATATATAGATATAACACATAGGCCCTATACTATTCGTATTAGATTAGAATGATTAGAATTACTGAATTAGTATTAGACAGAATTCATTTTTAATAGCTTTTAAACTGTTAATAATAGCCATTAATAAATAGTAAATGAAATAGGCAGGCCTAGATAGATAGATGCGATCCATCTGGAACGAAGTTCTTTATTTTTGGGGAATAGGTGTCCACCTTTTCCCCTACACTTTGGTACAGCGCAATATGCTGCCATTTTTCAGACTTATACACTTTTATTATTATATAATTAAAATGGGAGTACAATAACTAGAAAAGCTATCCAGTAAATAGTACAATACTATTTAGTATTTAAATATCAGCATACATGTTTGTTTACAAATGGTTTAACCTTGGTGTACGTGTCGCCACCTAGTGTCAAGGGGGGCTACTCTGCGTAGCAATATTGACCATTCTTTGTGACGCCACCTACCGGCGTTTTCTGAAAAATACAGCCCATTTTAAAATAAAGATGGCAGCTGTTTTTCAGATGATGTTGAGATTGCGTAATTCAGAAAAACTTATCCATTAAGCTGTTATTTTATTATCTGGCGCTTGCACGGTAATATTCATTCAGGATGATTTTAGATACTGATGTCCGATAATAGACTCATCCATAAAATAGGTGTGTTGGGTTGTTAGATGTAGATCTAGTAGTATGCTTTTCGACTCGCCGCCATCTTGCGATCCAAACTTTATCCGGACTTTTTCATGCGTACTTGAAAAAATTCGCCATTCCGATGAATGCCAATTCTAGCCATCAGAATCGAAAAATTAAATATATTCGATACTATCATATGCGTTGAATTTTATCATTTAAATGTTTCATTGATAGAAGTAGCTGTTTACAATACTCGATACTGAAAGCGACCTAACGATGATAGCGAAAATCGATGGAAACCGCGCAGTACCGAACCGCTACTTTCGGAACGAAATTTCGGTAAAAATTTAGAGAAAACCCTTGATATTTCATTGTATCCGCCGCCAACCAATCAAACGCGCGCTTTCAACGCGTTTTGGTTGGCGGCTGACGTCACGATGACGTCACGCGACCCGTAAACACGGCGTTTTTGGAGCTAAAAAGGGCCGAAAAGGCCATTTTTTCTACGTGTAGTTCGGATTTTTTTACGTTTTTTAAAATGGGCCCGAAAATGACACTTTTTAGAAATGGACATAGCCATTTTTTCGAAGAATTAATTAAAAAAAGGGCCGTTTTGAGCTATGTTTCGATGTAAACAAAGGCCCATGTCAACACGTGTCAAACCACGTGAAGGCACCCGATCGACGATTTCGGTCACGCATGAGTGGTTTTCGTACGTTCTCGTGAACTAAATACCTGTTTCTTGACAACAAATTGGAAAACGACAATTTCGTGAAATTAACGACCCTAGAGGAATGGCTTTTGAAGATTATTAAATAAAAATCGATGTATTGGCTACATGTGTTGATTCTAAAGTTGACTATAATTGACTAGTATATAGGGCATGCTGAAACAACGGCCTTAGGGCGCCGTGTAGTGTGTAGTTTCGCTAAATGTAAATTAATCAGCCCGGCCGCAGATCGACCGCAAACTGTTAAATTTGTTAAATGTGAAAAGCATACTACTTACAAATTACTTTTGAATATTCACATCACACAAAATAATCCCAAAGAAAGCACAAAATAAAATCCGTTAGAAAAGCATCACCATGAAATTTGAAAACCACAGTATGTCACCCAGCCATCTTTGGCTCGATCTAGAGGTCATTCATTAGCCTACACATGTGCCTTGCCAACAAATTTAGTTTCTGATGGTACACGAGATTTAGATCAATATATTAATTAACAAACTAACTGATATCCAACATTCTATCACTTATCCTAAAATGAAACAGAATTTGAAGCACAATAATCTAACGAATAAATCCCACTCTAAGTAAGTGTCGCAGCTTTAATCCTGGATACAACCGTAGTGTGTAGTCGTATTGTGAGTAAACTTGCACGAGATAAAACACCGACCTAGACCTTCCTGATGCTGTGTATGGCCCCAAAGTTAAATGCTGGGAGTAGGGGAGGGGAATTTAACACCAGAATAGATTTTTTTTTCAATAGTTAGGTCACCAGTAGTTCACGCATCTTAACGGGGTTGAAAGTGTAACTTTAAATTGAACCAGGCAAAAGGTGGAGGGCGGTGTCATTTAAACGACGGAGCTATATTTCTAGTCGAAGAATACGGGGAAGCCGGAATTTGAAGCCGGCATTTCATTATCGTCAATGCTATTGAGTTCAACCCTTTATTCTAGTTTAATGCACGACTAGGCTACTCATTACGAAATCTAAAAAATGTTGTGCTACCATGCAAAAGTAGTCTAATATTTCTACTTTTATTTATTTAAATGCAGATCCCATTAGCCTAAACATATTTGGATGCACATTTCTGTTATATCGTAAGGATTAATTTTATAATACAATGCATATATTCTGGCAGTCCTTCAAGTATTAGTAGTTGTTGGACTATCCATAACTTGTATTTCAAAGATTTATAATGAGCGGGATGCACTCGATGTTTTTTAAGTGCTACATTCGGTAGCTGTTACTTTGTGCATGACAGCATCCCAATAGTTCACTGTAAATATAAACTGAGCTTGACGAGATTCCCATCGCCAAGCAATCGTATGATGATAGACCCAGCAAGCATCACTCGTTAAATTCGACATCATGGCTGTACCAGTCCTTGATTATTTTCATTACTGCCTCGAAACGCCTAGTTCTTGGTTTAAAAAAAAAAAAAAAACGTCTCCCCCCCCCCTTCACGCTTGCGCCGACGTCATCATAGACCAATACTACGGTGCATTTTTTTTCAACAAGTATAACACACCCCCCCTCTCCCCCTCACAGCAAGCGCCAACAACGGTCACCCAAGGCCAATAACACGCACCACGGTGGATTTTTTCTTCAATGAGTATATACCCTACCCACCCGCCGCCTTACAGCATACCGCTAGTCTTTACAAACGGGGTTAAAAGTTTAACTTTGAGTTCAAGAAGGGGAGAGGGTGGTATTGAATCAACGATGTTCTTTAATATGTTTAATAGTACAAATACATAGTAAAAAATTATACTTACCTTCTTCTATAGCATCATACATAATTTTATAAATTAGCAAATTAATTAACTAATTAATTAATTAATTAAGTCTAATGATAATGAAGGGATATAGTTTATTTTGGAGGCACGACACACAACACGATGCGTGCGTGGTATGTGGCCTGACCGACCGAAAGGAGATTGTTTATATTATTGTTTTGAGTTTATATTTAACTCAATGCAACGAGCCCGCCGGTTGGTTGAGGCCACGCTGGGGGGACGATCTGTCCGGGATTCAAAGGGTCGATTCTAAATATTATCCGAAATATTGGTTTTATGGGCTTTAGAGCTCTTTATATACGAGATAATGCTTCTTGCGTGAAGTGATATAGTCTTCTACTTTCTAGATATAGATATAGATCTATGCAATTTTAAAAATGGCGGCCGAGTTAGAATTTTCATGACGGCCCATAGACTTGGCATGAAATAGAAAATTCGCACATTATTATTATTATTGCTGTTTAACAGTGTTTATTGGATTGGCAAGATCTAAGCTTATAAAATAGGTTTTTTATGGATTAAATAAAAATTTAAAGCTGTGGAATTAATAGATCTAGTCCCATTCATTAATAATCTTCCATATTAGTCAATAGGGTAGGCCTAAATATTGAAATAATAATTAAAATTTTAAATAGGTCCTAGATTCCTCTATCTAATCTAGATCTAAATAAAATTTAATAAATATTGCTGTCCAGTCGAAAGTGACAAAAGTCTAAACTAATTCCATGCCATTTAAATTTTAAACTTTTTATTAGTAGTCTATAGCCTAACCAATGAGTAATATAAAAATCAAATAGAAATACCCTAATAGTTAAAATATAGTACTACAGTATAGAGGCAATGGAAATTTAAAAAAAAACTAAGTCAAAGATAAAATAAAATAGGAACATTTAGCACTTTAACAATCTAGATCTAGTATTATCTAATCAATAGTAATATAACTTTTACATCTTATATTAACAATGACCGATAAAAAACTTTTACTTCGGCGCCCCACCTTTTTCATCGCTTATAGTAGAGTGATCGCTTGCATTATTGTGATGTATAGCATTTATTTTCTACTTTTTAGTTCAATCAGAAAATGTGTTTTTTTTTTAACTTTTTTAATGATAATTATTTTCTACTTTTTAGTCTTTGTCTGTCTTTTAAATCAAATAACTGAAGTATTGCTTTAATCATAAACCAGCTTACGCGAATCATAAACTTTAAAGTATTAATTTAACATACATTACAATTAACTGGTAATAATTTATGCCATTTTATTATAATCTTTTTTGGTGAAAACAAGGCGCCGAAAAATGTGTGCTGCGCAAGATAGTTTTATGTCTGATTTATATCTAGATTTATGTCTGTTTTTTATCATACCTAAAAATTGAATGTTTACGCTTTCTTCATTGATGATCGTTTTTATTATTTTTTAAACTAAAATTATGAATTATTAGTTAGGTTGCATATTTTGTAACTTGGTATACTTCCCCTTTATCAATTTTCAAAAGCATAGCATGCTGATTGTGTATAAATAATAAATATAGTCATAAAACACAGAAATATAAAGTTCCAATTGCAATGTGCCATACCCCCTTAAAAAAACTCGTGATTTATTAAATGTTTATCTAAATTAACCATAGTAATTAAAATAAATGTTTTATATTTTATTACTTATTTGGGTAAGATTAAGCACATTTTTAATACTAATTAAAAAAAAAAAACATCAGTAAATTCTGTTTTAATGAAGGTCACAGGTCAAGTATTTTATTTTTCAGTCAAGTTCAGTGGAGGGTGACACAGGCTGACCTGACTGGAATTTTTTTCAGTAATAATGACTTTGCACAGAAAGTTACAATATTGCTAAATTGGCTTAGTTTACTAGTGTGCTAGCTACTATTGTTACATTTTTTTATAAAAAAAAAAATCATTTGAAATCTAACACCCCTGTTAAAGAAAATTGTATTATCGGACACTGGTAGGCCTATATAAATTCCCCCTTCATTCAATTAGATCTGAATTTACTATTAATAAACTATTATCTCATAATATCTAGATTTATAGACCTAGGCTTATTTAAATTGAATTTTTTGTTTTAATTTGTTTTTATATTATAATTTAATGGACTTTCCTTTGTGTCACATGGACATGCCTCAGTTTGTAACTTACTAGACCAAGAATAGATCTAGAGGCTGTAAATATAAATAATGCTGACAGGCCTAGAAGAATTATCTATGGTCAATAAATGGGGAACTAATGAGAAGATATGTAATTTTTTTTTGCTCAATAGTTTTTTGCACCTAAAAAGCTTTGTTATAAAGCACAAAAAAAGACGAACAGATTACATGACTGTTGACCATGCAAGTATATATTTAGGAATTATTAATATTTTTTTTAGATACATGAATAATGTATTATATGGAAATACTTTTTTTATAGCCACGAACAATAGTGAAAATGCATCATTCATATATCCTCTCATATCTTGTGGTTATATTTTGCTTCTATTTGTAGTCTTACATATTTTTAGAATTTTTTAATTGAAGTGTATATTTTTGAATTTTCAAGAGAAGTTTGTTTAATTTAATATTTTATTATTTTTTTTACTAATTATTTTGAGTGCTGCATGGTAGAATCACTAGTGTGAAGAAATATCAAGTATGGGTTTTGCAATTAAAACTTATTTTAATTGAGTTTATTTATTTATTAGTGCTAATGACATTAATATTTTATTTTTTTAATTCATTATATCTTAATTAAGTTTAGGGTCAAGGTTTGGGTTAAGGCTAGGTTAAAAGGTCAGGGCTAGAAATAGTCTAAGAAAATATTAATTTTTTTTTCAATACAAATATTAAGAATTTTAGCCAAATTAATGAAATAAGTATCTTTTGACATTAAAAATGTCATTGTTTTTCATCTTCGATTTAAGTCTTATGTTCGAAGAAATATGCAATATCTTCTCTCATCCTTTCAAAGAAATAAACACTGTTCTTATTTCTCTCAACCAAGTGACAATATATATTTAACCTCAACTGGATGTAAGAGGATCTAAGCACATTTGGTAATTCCTCAATCGTTAGCCAAAATAAGCAGTACTGGATTACAAATTTGTGTTTTTTTTTAAGAATATTTAGAAAATATTAATATGCAGTCCTAATCTTATGACCTTGGCATTACTGGCAATCTATTTTTAGATCACATCAGACTGAGAGAAAAGATTAACAGACCTTCTGCCATTAATTTTACCATTTTTATAATAATACTTTATTCTGACTTTATAATCACCACTTTTCAATTTAACATTTATAACATTTTTAATCATCAGTTGATTTATAAAAAAGCAGTCAAGAATGGAAGAGGAGACAGAGCATTTAGCTGCAATGTTGTCTATTGTAGATGAACAGTCACACAAATTAACAGAAGATTTTAAACCAGATCTATCAACAATATTTTCATCTTCTCAAGATATAAAAACAGAATTTTCAACATTTTCATCTATGGTTGATGCAAAACCCAACTTGGCATTCACAGCTTCTCAAGATGTTAAACCATATACTACAACAGAATTTTCATCTTCTAAAGACACAGAAACAGAGTTTTCAAGTTTTTCATCTTTTGATAAATTTACACCCTACAAAACATTTATAGGCTTGCAAGATGTTAAACCTGATGTTACAACTGAGTTTTTAATTTGTAAAGATAAAAAGCCTGCTGTATCAACATTATCAACATCTGAAGATAATAAATCAGAAGTCACAACTTTATCAGAAAGTAATGATTCAAAACCAGAATTATTGACAGGATTTATTTTTTTTGAGGATAAAACACAAAAAAGGCTTGAACTTCAAGTTGAAGAAAATCTCCAGTTTTCTAGAGACAAAAGATATCAAATTGTTTCTAGTCACAAACAGAAATGGTTTTATCAAAGTTCTAACTTTAAAAAACATAAAACAGCTCAAGGCGGTGAGAAGATAAATTTATCAACTCACAAAAATGTTCATTCTGGAGAAAGGCCACATGAATGCGATGTTTGTCATAAAAGGTTTTCTCAAAGTACTAATTTAAGAAAACATAAAAAGGTTCATTCAGGAGGTAAGTCACATGAATGTGATGTTTGTCATAAAAGGTTTACTCGAAGTTCTGGCTTAAGTGATCACAAAAAAATACATGCAGGAGTAAAGCCATATGAATGTGATGTTTGTCATAAAAGGTTTTCTCTAAAATCTAATTTAAGAGCACATGAAAAAATTCATTCAGGAGAAAGGCCACATGAATGTGATGTTTGTCATAAAAGGTTTTCTCAAAGTACTAATTTAAAATCACATAAAAAGGTTCATTCAGGAGAAAGGCCACATGAATGTGATGTTTGTCATAAAAGGTTTTCTCGCAGTTCTAGTTTATTAAGACATAAAAAGGTTCATTCAGGAGAAAGACCACAAGAATGCGATGTTTGTCATAAAAGGTTTTCTCAAAGTACTAATTTAAGAAAACATAAAAAAATTCATTCAGGAGAAAGGCCACATGAATGTGATGTTTGTCATGAAAGGTTTTCTCAAAGTTCTACTTTGAAAACCCATAAAAAGGTTCATTCAGGAGAAAGGCCACATGAATGTGATGTTTGTCATAAAAGGTTTTCTACAAATTCTAATTTAAAATCACATAAAAAGGTTCATTCAGGAGAAAGGCTACATGAATGTGATGTTTGTCATAAAAGGTTTTCTCAAAGTTTTAATTTAAGAGCACATAAAAAGATTCATTCAAGAGAAAGGCCACATGAATGTGATGTTTGTCATAAAAGGTTTTCTCAAAGTACTAATTTAAGAAAACATAAAAAGGTTCATTCAGAAGAAAGGCCATATGAATGTGATGTTTGTAATAAAAAGTTTCTCAAAGTACTTATTTAAGAATACATAAAAAGGTTCATTCAGAAGAAAGGCCACATGAATGTGATGTATGTCATAAAAGGTTTTCTCGAAGTACTTATTTAAGAATACATAAAAAGGTTCATTCAGAAGAAAGGCCACATGAATGTGATGTATGTCATAAAAGGTTTTCTCGAAGTACTTATTTAAGAATACATAAAAAGGTTCATTCAGAAGAAAGGCCACATGAATGTGATGTATGTCATAAAAGGTTTTCTTGCAGTTCTAGTTTATTAAGACATAAAAAGGTTCATTCAGGAGAAAGACCACGTGAATGTGACGTTTGACATCCAAGGTTTTCTCAAATTTCTTGTTTATCTTCACACAAAAAAAATTCATTAAAGAGAGAGACCACATGATAGTGATATTTATCACAAAAAGTTGACTCGGAAGTATAATGTGTTATGATTTTTGTGTTTTTACAGGTTATAAGCCATATGTCTGTATGAAAGATTTTCTTAAAGCTCTTATTTAAGCGCTCTTGAAAAAGTCATTCAAGAGACAAGCCACATTAATCTGGTATTTGTCATAAAAGATTTTTAAAAGTTCATTCAGGAGATAAGCCACATGAATGTTGATGTTTGTCACAAAAGATTTTGTCAATTATCTAATTTAAATACTCATAAAAATGCATTCTAAAGGTAATCCAGGAAATTCATCATGACTAAAAACCAATTTAATATCATTTTTAACATCAATAATTAATTCTAGAGCAAATTATTATTGAATATCTTGTTATAATTTTTTCTTCACATAACTTTAACTAGTGGTGATCCAATAGTGGTCCATATAGTTTATTAATTTTTATATTTGTATTATAAAAAGGTTCTTTTGTCAAAGAGTATACCATGTCAATTATTATACATACTCTAAAATTAAATTGTATTCTGACTGTAAATGGAAATTGTATTCTATAATGTCAGCTGCATGTGTACAATTTTTTTTCTTTATGTAGCCTACTTTTTATGGGTGTTATCTGTAAATGTGTATGATAGGAGAAGTAAGCTATAACCCAGGGTTTTATTTTTATACCCGCATGGTTTTGTTTACATTATTAACAATAACAGAAGCTAACTAAAATAAAACACAAAGTTCAATTCATTTATTTACATTTACTAGATGTTTTAAACAGATGTAGGCCCTACTGTTACACAATTCTCATTCTTAACTTTACACATTTACACTACTCACAAACAGCTCAGTCAGACATACAGTAACATGACAGAATATCAGGTTGACAGGTAAAACAACCTCCATTAGACAAGTACAATGACATCAGGCCAGCAGTCACAGTGGCATCTGGCCAACAGGTACAGTGACATCAAAACTTCTGAGCAGACAATATTTTTTTGTAAACACTTTTTCATCTTTTGCTAAATGACCTTAATCATTATATTGAGAGGTATAGAATCTTAAATCATATGATCAAACTCTACTGTCTGCAATGTATAACTCATACAGACCATATGTAACAACTTACTGCCCCAAAAAATTTTTTTTCCCTATGTTTGTCCTTGAAATGTATGTATTGTCATCACTAATACAGATTTTATTGTAAATTGAATTGAGATTGAAATTTAAATGGTAATTTAGTACCTGGATAAATTAAAAATAAATTTAAAACTTCTACTTGCATTGTTTGACATTATTTTATTCATCCCATTTAGGATCCCCTCCTCCCATCATTTATATGTCTTATGGAACTAACCTCAAGTTTAAAGTTGCTCCAACCATTGCTAAATCTTATGGTCACTTCCTTACTTTTGCTAGATGAATGTTTTTTTATTCAATTAAATTAAATGCATTTGTAACATGTTGTATAGGCCTATAGATTTTATCATTCTGCACTCCTTCTCAAATGAACTTGAGGCCAAACCTCAGACACCTCTCTACATGCAATGTGTTTAAAAACAGTACAAAATAATTATCTTCACATATTCATATAATTGCTATAGAATTTAGATATTAACCACACATAACAATTTTATGAATAAACATTTAAATTTTTTAAAACAGCATAAAAATTATCAATTTGAAGAAAAGAAAGACTTAAGCTGCAATTGTTACATTTTGGTATCTTAGTTTCAACATACCGTGATTATTGGTTAATCATTATTTAATTTTGTATTGTTTACTATTTAAAAAACAAACATTGTAGAGCCTAATGAAATTTCTAATGTAGTGATTCATAAGAAATTATAACATGAAAAGTTTTTAAAATAAAATAACTAAATTGTTTTTTTTATTGTTAGTGTATTTCTATCAACACTTCCTGTATGTATAAATTCCAATGAGGTCAATGTGTTTTGAATGCTGGGGTATGTTTTTCTCTCTTGTGATGCTCCAAAGCCTGTACGTGCCAGGTATGTGAAGGTCAGTGTCAGACAACTTATGCTTGTTAGGGAAACATTTCAAATTTCAAACGCTTATTTTACATTTTTTTTTTTACAAGAAGTAAAATAAAATAAATGAATGACTATCCTGCAGTCTTGAGTTGTTTTCTCAAAAAAATGATGGTTTTGTCAAAAATTTCTATAAACAGACTACAAAAAGTGCACAATCCAGACTATTATTATTATATAAGTTTATACCAATACCATAACAACACTTAGTTTGCTTTATAATAGCATGAAAGTCCGATGACTAGGCTACACCAGGCCAAATGAACACTCAACAAGGGTTTTGGGCCGGAAAATAAAACAGGTCTGTTGACTAAGACAATTCAAATGCGTCAGTTTACGGCCCGTAGTTAAATACTGTTTAAATATTATTAAAACGTGTTGATACTTATTTTTAAAAAAAGTTAAATGAAAAAGAACTAGAGTCTATTTAACCCTATATGGCATAGCGTTGCAGTTTTGCAACAATACTTTAGGAGTAATCAAGTACTGTATTATTTAATATTTTGTTTCGTTTTCAACTTATTTTACTCCGGATAGCACATTTTATTACATTTTATACCGGAACTCTTTTGAAAAGAAGATTTTTCTTTTTCAAATCGGACATTTTTAGAAGCGATCTACACTTTTCTGCTTTTTGCTAAATGGTAAGTATAAAATTACGTTAAACCTGGTTAAAACTATAATAAACTAGCTGAAAAAAATATATTTACAATAATAACTATGCATTAGTACTAATTTAGTTGATTCACAATAAAAATTTTAATATTTCATTAGTAAGAGCCTAGGTTTTGTATTGTTGTAGTAATGCAACTACATGCAACGGAATAAATAAAAATGGCTCTGCTCTGAGCTAGACTTTAGTTTACTTGGTAATTATTTCTATACACAAAATAGTTTATTTTATGATGTGAAATACATTTAGTGTTGTGGCATATTATTTAAAGCTTCTAGATCTAGTTTTTGCCTATAATAATCATAATAAATTATAGCCTAACAATAGTTTTATTAGTTTTATTTATATATTTATCGTTAAGAGTGTAAGACTAGAGCTAGACTAATGAATAACCTTTTGTTTTTATTTTAGGCTTTCCCATATTCATAACCATGGATCCAAGAGTCTAATTTGAAAGTCTTCTACCAGTTTATTCTGAGCCACTCCTTTTGGCTCAAAAGATAGTGAGTTGTCCAATGATGAAATAGAGAACGTAAACAGTACCCGGGTCCTATCGGATGTTGGTGATGAAGATTTGTCTGACGTAGTTGAAGGTAACATATTATTATTGCATACTTTAAAGGTTTGATTGTAGATTAGTAAAGCATTTATTGTTTTGTATACAATTATTGCATAATTTATAACCAAATAATGTTCTCAAAATTTATTTCTACAGAAGAGTATGCCCATTTGCGAAAAATGATGAAACTCCTCAGGACCTTCTCAATTGTCTACACCAAGGTCTTCATTAGCAACAACAGAATGATCAGTCCCAGTAAACAGCAAATGTTCCACCATTTCCTGATCCTAGGAGAGAAGCCAAACATCAGAGGCGGCCATTGGATCATTTCAACGACATCTTTACAGATAATCTGTGATCGGACAGTTGTGTATCAATCCAACCTGTACTGTCCTCTAACATGACATCAACAGTCCTTTAGCACTGGATAAAGATTATTCCTGGAAATTAGATTTTACATAAACATTGTAAAAATTCCTAAATGCTGAGTGTATTGGAGCCCTGCCACCAAGTTTGTTACGGTCACATACGTCATGACCATCAACAGATTCAAGCGGAATAAGAATAATCTGCACCTGTCAAACAATGTCCTCCACAGGACAAACAATCCATTAGCACTGGATAAGATTGAGCTAAAACATTTCCTAGGAATTGTGTGTATTACATAAAGATTCTAAAATCTCTTAGATGCCGAGTGTATTGGAGACTTGCGACCAAATGTGTTACGGTCAATACATCATGACCATCAACAGATTCAAGCGGATAAAGAATAATATACACCTGTGAAACTATGTCCTCAGCAGGACATAAACAATCCACTAGTACTGGATAAAGATGAACAAAAACATCTCCTGGAAATTGTTTTACATAAACATTGTAAAAAAAATTCAAGATACCAAAGATCTTGGTGCCTTGTCACCTAATGTGTTACTGTCACAGACATAACCATCAATAGATTCGAGTGGATTAAGAATAAGCTACACCTGTCAAACAATGTTCAAAGGGCAGAAGTTGACCAATGTCGGAATTCTGTGCTTATCAAACCCCATGCCATCTAAGATTCTAAGTATTCATGAGCAAATCGACCCATTCACATATCGTAGGCAAAAGCAGTCCAGCCTACAACCATAGAAAGCCATATAGATGGGCTACAAAGTCTTTGTTGTGTCCAACAACTTGTATAATCCAAGATTTTGAAGTGCATACAGGTAAAGCTACAAAGGGACAAGATGACAAAGTGCTGTTGCTAATATTGAGCAGACATTATTACAGAGTGTTCCCCAATATGTTGGGCTCAAGATTTACATAGACAATATCATTTAGTTGCAGGTTGTCCTGCACCAAGAATGCACAGAAGTTTTTATTTGTTGTATAGCAAACAAAAAAAAATGCTTCACAAAAACAAAAAAAATATTCAGAATGACCAAATTTTATGTCGCAATAGACCATTCTTATCTGCAAAGATTTTATGACAAACATCACAATCATATGCCTTTTCTACTGGTTCATGAGGCCTTTCTCCTGAATGAAGCTTTTTATGTGTTCTTAAATGAGAACTTTGAGAAAACCTTTTATGACAAACATCACATTCATGTGGTTTATCTCCAGAATGAACTTTTTTATGTTTACTTAAGTTAGAACTATTTGAAAACCTTTTATGACAAACATCACATTCATGTGGTTTATCTCCTGAATGAATCTTTTTATGTCTTCTAAATTGAGAAATTTGAGAAAACTGTTTAAGACAAATCTCACACTCATATTGCTTATCTTCAGAATGAACATTTTTATGCATATTACTTTCAGAACTTTGAGAAAATGTTTGATTATAATAAAAAATCTTATTTCCGTTGTCCCTAGACAATTGTAGATTTTCTTCAAGTCCATTTTCTTGTTTATCCTCAAAAAATAAAAATTCTGTTGTGAAATCTTGTTTTAAATTTTCAGTAGGTGATAATTTGGGTTTTATATTTTCAGATGTTGAAAATATTGCTGATGCAACTGGTTTCTTATTAATTTTTTCAATTGAAAATGTATTATCAAGTTTAACATCTTGATAAGTTTTAAATGACATGTTAGGTTTTATATCCTGAACATTAAAAAATGATAATTCTGGTTTTATTTTTATGCTATTAGAAGAAGAAAATTCTGAATTAATATCAGGTTTAACATCTTGAGAAGTTTTAAATGACATGTTAGGTTTTATATCCTGGAAATTAATAAATGTCAATAATTCTGTTTTGATGCCAGCAGAAGATGAAAATATGGTCGACAGATCTGGTTTCAAATCTTCAGAAGATGAAAACTCTGTCAATTCATTTGACTGTATATCTACAGTAGATGAAACTGCAGCTAACACATCTGTTTCCACCTCCATGCTGGACA